CACTGCACTGTCATTCTTTACTGAAAGGACAAGGCTGTGCCTGTGAGCCCCACAGCGAACTCACCACAACGGTGACGCCCTCGTGCACCATGGAGGGGGAGGCGTACAGGCTGGTGGAGTACTTCCCAACATACAGGGTAGGCCTGGAAAGAGGAGACACCCATGTCCCAGTCTTCTCAAGTCCAGATCCCATAAAAGGGGCCCTTGGGAGGGCAAAACCATAGCCCAGAGACCAGCCCCAGCAACTGCTTTATTAGTCCAGGCATGGGGAAAAGCAGTGAGGTGTGAGGCAGGGCGCTGCCAGAGAACACAACACCAGGACTGTGGGCCTCAGTTTCACTCGCCACCTAGAGAAATTCGGACAAGCCACCTGGAGGCATGCCTCGGTTCAGAGACGTCTGCCTGACCTCGGCCTCCGCCAGGGTAGGGGGACGCTATGCTAGGGCAGCAGCGGGATGGTAGGGTCCCAGCTGCGCCCTGCTGCCCTCTTCCACCCTGTTTCCCGACTCACGTCAACTTGCTCTTGGCCTCGGTCTCCTTGGGAAACGGGTATTTCCACTTAGTGATGCGGCCCACCTCCCCAGGCATGAAGGTCAGGTAGCGCAGGGTCTCCACAGCAACGTTGATGTGCATCACCTTCCTCAGACCCTCCCGCTGCCACACGTAGAAGGCCACGACCGGGGAGGCATAGTTTTGGATCCACAGGACGTCCCCAGATTCACTGTCCACTGTCACCACCAGCCCGTCGCCGTTCGACACAAAGTGGGACATCTCTGCAAGCATCGAACAACAAAGACGTCAATACCCACCACATCCTGCAACCACATCCTCTACTCCGTTGGCAAGCTGTGGGAACTTGGCCAGAGGAAACAGGACTTCCAGAATATTCTCAGAATGGCTTCACTGGTTCCAATGAACACATTCAGGGTCCTCAATATCAAGACGCTGACAGGGACAGAAGAGAGGAGAAGGAGCAGTAAAAGAATTGAGAAGCGTCATCACACGTACCAATTCCCCACGATGAATGTTATCATTCTGTACCGCGAACGTGTACTGAGAAAAATTAAAAAGCGTCATCACATGTACCGATTCCCCACGATGAATGTTATCATTCTGTACCGCGAACGTGTACTGAGAAAAATTAAAAAACCTTATGACTCAAGAAAGTCACGCCTGTGTTTGTTCCTGTCTCACAAAGGGGCACTGGGAGATAGATGAAAATATTCTAGGTCCTGGGCTAGAAAAGGCAGAATTAGACTTTCAGATACCAATGTCATGATGACAAGATTGGCTTTCTCAGGGATCAGTTGAGTTAGGGGAAGGCTGACCAAAGAAACAGCTAGAGATAACTAAGGAGTCACCTTCCGAGTGGCCTTTCATGGGATTATCACTGTTACATGCTGGTCTGTAATTACACCGCTCACAGGCTTTTCCTAAACTTCTTCTGTGACACACAGGACTCGGTAAGGTGTGCTCCCCGCAAACTCACATTTTACTTCAGTTCCCCGCACGAGTTCTCACCTAGGATCCTGCCACCCTGACTGTGGGAAGCAGTTACTTTAAGCCTGTGGAAAGTCCAAAGCCTGGCGATGAAGGGTGTCTAAAAAGAAAGTTCTGCTCTCCGCAATGACTGTTTCCCATACACGGGAGGGACCATGCCAGTCTCTGAGCCCACTTGGAGCACTTACTGTAGTCCCCATCGTCCTCGGGCAGTGAGGCTGCGTAGTCAAAGTAGGTGGCATTCCAGCGGAGCTCTCGGGTCTTGGTGTCATACATGGTGATAGTGTATTCTGCAGGACACAGATGAGCTCGTTATCACAGGGCCACGGCACCTCCCAAATGTTCAACTTACCCGGTTACAACCAACAAATTCTCCTTAGGTTGCGGGTTTAAAAGTCTAGGCTATCCTCATGGAACATAAAGGCCACCGAGAGCTACAGGCCCCGACATGAGTGAACCCGGCCAGCAGCACGCAGACCAGAGACAAGCCACCCTCACCCCATCCCTGCACCCTGGAGCTCACAGCTCACAGAACCATAAGCAGGATAACAACTGCTTTTGCCACTGATTTGGGGGGTGGTTTACTATCTTGCAATAGGTGGGTGATACTAAAACGTAGTACTCAGAAGTGGGATGGTGCCATAACAGAGATCCAAGAACTGCAACACTAACTTTGTGACCAGCTAGAGGCTGGAAAGGTGACAAAGATAGTGGAGATCTGAATGAGCAGAGAAAAGTACTATTAGAAGCTGAAACACGGTGACATAGCTTGAGATCATGACATGCTTACACTCGCTGGGAATACAGAACACAATGACTGGAAGATCTGGCTAAGGAGCTTTCTAGGCAGAAAGCAGAAACTGTGTATGATATACTGCAAGACAATGAGCTACGGAAGAAATCATTCAGCTTTCAAGCAAAATACAGAGAAACTATAGAGGGTCCAAGATTGACCCCAGCTAGAAAAGATTCTCCATATAGAAAATGGCTTTAGAACAAAGATAAAATCGAGAGCATTGGGGGTAAAAAACTGGCCTCAGGTCAGGGTCAAGATCAAACCCACAGTGAGACCCTCAGACCCTTCTTTGAGACCTGAGAAAGATTTCAGGTAGTACCTTCTAGACTAGTGATGGCAAACCTTTTAGAGCTTCCAATGATAACACACGGCACACTGTGGCACACGTACCACAGGTTCACAGAAACTGTCCTATACCCTACGCTAGGCAAAAAGAACCGCGGGACTACTGTTCCACAGCACTTCCACATTCCGAAGCCAGCTCGTGTGGGTAGAGCTTTTACGTAATAGAATGACAATAATTCAATACATGGGAAACCCACACAGATTCTAAAGGGGTAAAATCAGTACGGACTACAATGATCCGAGACAGTCAAAATGGAAAAAAAAAGACTAAATCCCCTACTTTCAATAACCAGAGAACAGACAGAAAACTACAAAACTCATCATTTCTTATGGAAAAGATTTATGGATTTCGGAAAGGACAAAACCAACAGCCACTGAGAACAATGTACTAGGGAACAAATCCTGGGGGGTAAAACTGGGCCCTAATCAAGGCATATTCCTGCTCCCAGAGCAGGGGAACCCACTCCCCAAAAACATGCCTGGCTGGGTCTCAGAATTCCTAAGTCTGGTATCTGATACGCGCGTCTCTTTCCTTCCGTTTGGATGGAAGTGTTGACTCCAGCTGTCCTGCCTCACCACTGTACACCTGGTGGGAGAGAGGGGTGCTGGGGAGAGGGAGAACTTGTCTTTAATTCTCACGTCTCCAGAACAGAGGACCCGAATCCCCTTCCACGCCTGATACAGACCCCAAGGGGCTGGACTTCGACACAGCGCTCTGACTGGACTCTGGGAATCTTGGGAGGACGTGAATATGTCCGTATGCGGAATACGTGGAAGGGTTGAAACTACGATAGCCAGAGGTAAGACTGTGGTAGACTGTCCGAAAAGATTACCACCGACAATTCCTCCCTAAGTCACTCTTTCCCTCAAAAGGCTGAGTTGGTTTCTCTACGCCTGGCTCTGGGCCAGCCTTGTAACTTTAATGCGAGTAAGGGTCTGGGACTTTCGAGCTTAGAACTTTTTTTTGAAATAGGTTCTTGCTACGTAGCTCAGGCTGGCCTTAAATTCACTATGCATCTGCGTCACTATAACCAGACTGAGCTCAGAACTTACGAGGCATTCTAACATCCACTTTTACTCAACAAGGAACCCGGCTGCCATGTTAAGAAGCCCAGACCATCTTTAAGGAAAAGGTTCATGTCATATGGACGTGAACCAAGGTCCCAGACATGAGTGTGCCCAGCATGCAGTGTAAAAATGATCTGTCCTTGCTGAACTCTTCCTGAACTCCTCACCCGCAGAATCAGGAATAATTAAATGGCTATTGTGTTAAAGAACTATGTTAGGTGGTTTATTATGCAGCAATAGATAACGGAAACAATAGTTTGTGCGCCTATGCACACACATTCCACCTAAGGCCCCAGTTCTACCTGAGAACCAGACAATTTCTATAACCAGATGAAGCTGTAGACACTGTTAAGATTTTACTTGATGGAAAAGGTAAACGAAGCCAGGTGTGGTGGCAGACACCTGTGATTCCAGTACTCAGGAGGCTGAGGCAGGAGGATCACCCTGAATTTGAGGCCAGCCTGGGATACAGAGTGAGTTCAAGGCCAGCCTGAACTACAACACAAGAAGCTGTCTCAAAAAACAAACCAAAACAAAAACAAAAACAAAAAAAAAAAAAAAAAAGGAAAGAAAGAGAACAAGTAAAGAAATCCTAAGCAATCACAGTAGCTGATTTTTACAGGGACAGGATGGACAGTGTTTCCCTTCTAGGAGCAGGAGCAGCTTTTCTAATCTGTAGAAAGGCACTGTTTCCACTGCAACAGAAAGAAGCTTCTGTATCTCCATACAGCCTTGGTTACCTGAACGATTAGACCAAATTTAAGACTCAACTGTAATGAATTCACCCTATTTTTTTAAAACTAGATTTGGATAATCTTCCATGTTTACAGGAGCCTACATTTTTATATAATTTTCTTCTAAATGTTTTCTGGCTTCAGCTTTTAGCTTTAACTTGTGTTCTACAATTTTTGTGGCAAACCTGACTCACGTGAGGTGCCGCACACACGGAAGTAAGCAACAAGGCTCACCCACTCACTCGTTCAAACGTCTGAGCACCTACTGCACGCCAGGTAACACGTCCAGTGAACGTGAACTAAACAGTGGTAGCCAGTGACCAAAACAGTCTTCCCCAAGGGAACTGCTATTCCGGGGGGGAGGCAGAAATAGGCACATAAAATTTACACATATGGAGTGACAAGTGGGAAGAAGGTGGCTGAAAAGCAAAGGAGCAGGTGTGCTGGTCGTGCCTGCAAAGGGACATGACGGGCAGTGAGACGGCCACAGCAGTGGGCCCGCCACTGTAAGTGTGACCCAAGAACGGAAAAGCCGAACCGGGCGTCCCTGGGCAGGGTGGGGGCTGTGAAGCTAGGAAGAGACTGCACAGAGGGGATGGTTTTGAGCAGAGCTGTGGAAAAGAGGACATTTTCTAAAAAGGCAAAACCAGGAACACCTGGTGTAGAGGAACACCCTACGCATCCAGGCACAGCTATTCTGAGAACTGCAGGAATCCCACCCAGGCGGGAAGAGTTGGAGGGAAACAGCAGGGAGGACGGGTAGGAGGGAGGCAGCCTCTGCACCGGGCTCTGTGGGTTGCGGGGCAGTTTACGATGCATCCTTGGACAGTGGGGTCACAGAAAGGGAGTAGATGCAAGAGAGCCCTGGCCCTTCTGGGAACAAAGCCAGGACCAGAGCCGGTGGAGGAGCTTTGTTACACCCTTTCTGGAAGCAAGCAGGCTGCGCACGAGGTCATTCCTTACCTGTCCGCCCAAGGTACAGGAGGGAGGCTGACGGGCAGAGACTATCTGCAAAGGCTGATGACAAGGTCTGCTGCTTCTCCCCGGTCAGGAGGTCGATGACATACCAAATGTCCTGCTTTTTACCTGAAAGGCCACGGAACACTGTCATTTACGCCTATCCTATAAGGAAAAACATACTGCTGCCGAGTAGCAATTGTCGGCGTTCGAGATGTTTTCTGTGCTGAGAGGCCTGAAATCCGTAGGCTGCTGAAGACGTTTCTATGATTCTCTGAGGTGATAAAATAAATCACAACGTTGAAACAACTTCCTGGGTCACTAGATCTGATGTTTTATAATATAATCATGATATAAAATGTCTCTAAACATAATACACTAATTACAGTTTAATAAAAGCCTCCTAACTACTAAAGTTGATTTCATTGCTTTGATTAGTGGCCTTAAATATGAAAAAGTCTTGACATATGTGAAGGGCAGTCCTTTTTCCCACAGAGTAGAAGCTATATAAGTACAGAAATATACCTGGGGGCTCGTCTCCCTGGTAACCACAATCCTTATTTCCCAATGTCCTTATTAATTAGCCCACATCTGAGGAGAACCTATAGTTACCATGGGTAACTGTAATTAGCCAGTGCCTGGGCCTGCTCGGTGCAGTTGGCTGTAACCTGATGCCGATGAAGCCGAAGTTATCAGCCTCTATGCCAAGTCTGTAAGTTATTCCCAAGCAAAAGATCATAGCCCTTGCTTCTGGCAGCTGATTAAAAGATATGGACAGGTGGACAGCGCAGGCCAAACAATACGATTAGAAAAGCCACAGCACATGTATCTGTGGAATACATACCAAGACATCCTGACTAACAGTGAGACAGCAGACAGGGCCTCTGAGCTGAGGATCAGCTCAGTCCCTGTGATGTGCGTGTTTCTGTTTTGTAAGGCACAGCCCCTGGTTATGTTTCATGCAAAGTTACTGGGAAAGTGTCCTGAAACCAAGGACTCCGGAAAGTAGAATTGTGCAATGCTGGGGTGGAGCACAGGCATTAAAATTTGCTAGAGCCGTGCTTCACTCTGACAGATGTGGCAAGCAGGACCACTCTACGTGTGTGCAACTTGCCCACGGGTCATAGCTCTTCTCAATGATAAGATCTGCATATTTTTTTAGGAAAATGAAGACAAAATGAAACTGTCACCAAGCAGCCCTGACCAAAAATCCTCTCCATCTGGCATGATATACACATGCGTACTTCAAGGACCATCACAGGCTGCATAACCTGGCTCCACATCAATAGACGAACTGGGCAACTGCCACGTTCTTAAATACACGTAATGAAGTCAGTTAAAAGGGCCCCACACAAAGGTGATGGAAACAATACCTCAATATCCTAAGTAAGTAACGAATTGCTGGCAAAAGCTGGAAGCCCAGACAGCACACAGTGACAGGGAAGGTCAGAAGATGGCCAGATGGGCCGGGGGATGGCCCACAGGACGGAGGGAGCCTTGGTGATTACTTCCTTTGAGTCCCTAAGTTGGGAGTTCTTCAGTCTGAAGGGCTGGAAGGAAGCAAGAGGCCCAGTGTCCCTAGCAAAACCTTAAAAGCTGGCCCGCATCTGAAACCCAGAAATACACATAAAGCTTCCAAGGTGTGAATAAGCAATAAGTACTTTCAGTTCCTTAAAAAAAAAAAAAAAGCTCCTATATAAACACAAGCTATTATTACTACTATGATTTCAAGATAAACACAGCTCTCCTTTGTGTTACAAATTCATTTTTAGCAACACTTTGGCAGAAAAGTGGTAAACAGAAAAGCAGGTGAGTTGATGCTTTGTAAACCGTGGTCCCTGGAGTATGAAGACGTCTTATCTAGACAAGCTGTAAAGTGCTATTTCTGCCCAATATTCTGACAGCAGAGAACACTAAGAAAGTCCTATAATTAGTAGCCAGGACCTGGCTTCCCTTCCTTGGCTCAGACTATTATATTCCCTTTAAATTTCATCCAGTTGCAGCTAGGTATGATGCAATCTTAAAATCACAGAAATAGGCCAACCCAGCAGCTGAAAGCTTGTTGAATGAGTAACCATATTAATGGCGTCAATTTTTCTCCCAGGTAGGGGGAACCTTTTCTTAACCGGTCCGCTGATCCTGGCATGAACAGCACCACAGCACCATCAAGGCAGTAAGGCCCCTCCCACAAGGACTGGCAAGCAGGTGACAGCAGCAGCACACGCCCCTCCTTTTTTTTTTGGTACCGAGGGGCTGGGGATATAGCTCAGTGGCACAGCGCCTGCCTGGCAAGTGTGAGGTCGTGAGTTCGATTCCCGGTACCGGAGAAAACAAAACAAAACAAAACCAAAAAACCACATTCTTTTGGTACCGAGAATCGAGCTCATGACCTCAAGCTTGCCAGGCAGGCACTGCGCTGTTTAGCTATAACCCCAGCCCCACAGCCCTCTCTCGTGACTGCTACGTTTCCAGATTCTGGGACTCACTGTCACAGAGAATGAAGTCAGTGCTGAAAACAGGAACTCTTACCCATGTACAAGATTCCATCTGCGCTTCGGCATGGGGATGCCTGAACCAACTCTGGGATGGTAAAGGGAAGTTTCTTTAAAAAAAAAAAAAAAAAAAAAAGAAAGAAAGAAAAGAAAAGGAGAAAAAAGAAGTTAACCAAGTCTTGTGCAATTATTAAAATTTTACTAGACAGTATGTTTCTATTACCCAGTTCTGCCAAAGCGAGAGAAGCACTTAGCAGACGTGAGTTGTCCTAACTGGAACCCAAGGAAAAGGAGGTGCCCTGGGCTTCCCTGGGCTGAGCTCTGTAACCGAACTCCTGCGCTTGCTACACGATGCAGAGGGCCCTTCGCTCTCCTCCGCAGGGAACCTACTCTAGCTGACATAAACCTTCTGTGAAAAGACCTACACAAATATAGAGCGCTGCACATTTAAATGTGGGAGAAACGTTTCTCCTGTCTCGGGTAGTTTTTTCTCTGTCTTGGAATCTTGACAAAGAGATGCTGACTAACTGGAATGACAGTGCTTTTCAGAGTGGGAAGGAGTCGACACATTAATGCTAAGGAGAGGGACTCTTGGGCCATAGCATCAGCTCTGAGAGAAGGCAGCGTGACGCGGACAACACAAGGGTCTGGGGTAGAAAGTCAGGTTTTGGTGTTCATTTAGCAAATAACTGTCTACTGAAAACACAAAAGAAAACTGAATCTCGACTATGAAAAAGAAGTTACGGTAGGTGCCAGAAAAAGAAACGCAAAGGAATCCAAATGTTTCAACACATTTCATCATAAAACTGATCCTTCTGAGTCTACAGCTGACATCTGACACGTCCTTTTGGTTAGTGCTTGTTTCGGTGTACTTTATTTTTGGAACTTCTGTGTTCTCGAAACTGTTCTACAGATACCTGCTGTTACAGAAGCTCAGGATTCTGTAACACTGTCACCTTTTTTCTCTAGGAAAGAAAAAAAAAGATTTCCCGGTAGTATTAAAAACCAAAGTGCAAAGAGTAATCAATACTCGGGATTTCTCATCACCCCAACATTCAAACTAAGCCTAGAAAAGAAGTGAGCCCGCTGTGGTGAGGCATGCCTGTAATCCCGGCACTTGGGGGACTGAGGCAGGAGGGTTACAAAGTTGAGGCCAGCCTGGGCTATGCTGAGTTCATGGGACACTAGTCTAGGTTCAGTATTTTTCTAGAGTTCCCCACATCACAAAAGTGTGCAGCAAAGGGTGAAAACCACAAGTCTACCTTCCCAAACGGAGTGTGGGGTAGACCATGTGCCGTCTCTAAGGAGGCATCTGACGGGTTGGGTGGAGACTGGTTTCAAGCAACCCTCGTCCTCCCAAGTTGAAGGTCCTGAGTTAGAGGAAACTGTTATTAGAAGACTCCTATCCTTCCAGGGTGCTGGCTGGGCCACCAGCAACTGCTGGCCTGGATCTGCATTTCTAAACTCTGGCTACGCACTTAAAAACTCGTTTAGGGTACTCTGAAAAGATAGTGATGCCCAGGATCCACTCCAGACCCCCTGAATCAGAATCCCCAGAAGGTTTTTTCTGAGTCAGGGTCCTACTATGTAGTTGTGGCTAGCCTTGAACTTGTTTATGTAGCCCAGGATGGCCTCGAACTCACAGCAATCCTGCCTCAGCCTCCCAGGGGCTGGGATTACAGGCGTGCACCACCACACCCAGCTTCCCAGAGGTTTTTAAATATCCCAGGTGAACTCCATGTGCCAACGCAGTTAAGGACAGAGTGAGGAACCTCCAGAGTATACAAAGAAGATAAAAATTCTTACCGTCAGGCCTTCGTTATTCTTGCCCCCAAGCGTGTACAGGCTTCCATCATTGGGGTCTGGGAGGAAGGCAGGCCTAGAGATTAAACAGTAAGTATCAACAGTAAAGGACAGCCGTAGGACAGAGCAAACCACCAAAGTCACGCAAAACCATAATAGAGAAGTAGTGGGGAGCAGTGTGTGTGTGTGTGTGTGTGTGTGTGTGTGTGCGCAACAACTCCACCCACGGCTCCCCCACTGCCACCACAGACACATAAAATGCCCCCAGGGGTGGAGAAAAGCAACCTGCGGAGGAAGTCACGAAACCACAGAGGAGTAAATCAGCATCTGGTTGAAGCGCTCTGCAGGAAGGTCAGTCAGTGAGCAGACCCAGCAAGCCCACTTCTCAGTCTTCTCTTAACTGTGCACGGAACTTCCAATAACTACTATTTAAGTTAATAGCGCGGCATGACACATGCACAGGGAGAACAAATCCACCTTTAGTTTTCACAAACCCTTACTCTTCGAATGGGGCAGTAAAAGCAGACCGTGAAAACCGCTGTCAGAGAACCCGCCAAGGAGATGAGCAGGGGTTTCTCTATGGACAGCCTCCCCCAGGCAGACGGGGGGGGGGGTGTCCATCTGCTGGAGACTGCACTACAGCTGGAGTCACTCAGGAGCCCCTTCCGAATCTCACTCCGAGTAGGAGGTGCCATCACCTGAGGCTCTGACAGATGACACCCAGCTTTTCATCTAACTCCGTCCTCTAGGAGCAGGCCGCAGACACCCTCCCTCCCCGTGGCATGACACAGCGAAGAGGGAGACATCCACACTTTGCTAGTTTAAGTTTGAAACTCAACCTAATTTTCACCTAATTAAGCCTTTTTAATACCATGGCAGTCTCCTGAAGGAATGGACCACTCCCCGCCACAGGTTCCGTCCCACTCCTCTCTCCCTCCCCCTCCCCCGGCTGGGGATCAGACCCAGGGCCTTGCACACGCTAGACAAGCGCTCTACCCCTGGGCTACACTCTCACAGCCCTCACTCAGTGTGTTACACCTTAACCTGCGCATGTGTGTATCCCAGCTACTGGCCTCCGAACTGCTGAGTACGTGAGGTGATGAATTAAAAGAGACGTGCTGAGCCAATCAGAAAATGTACTCATCCGGATGCAACTAGAGACCATACTCATAAGTGAAATAAATCAGACCCGCAGGTGTAAACACTGTGTTGTCTCCCCAGTGTAAGAACCTGGAAGAGTAAATAAGATCTGCCAGGCATGGTGGCGCACACCTGTAATCCTTAGGAGCACTTGGGAGGCTGAGGCAGGAGGATTGTTGGAGTTCAAGACCAGCCTAGGCTACGAAGTGAGCTCAAGGCCAGTCTGAACTGCATAGCGAGGCCCTGTCTCAAAAAAAGACAAAAAAAACACAAAAAAACAACGAGAAAAGAAACTGCTCAAAAGGAAAAAACAACTGGGATAGGGGAAAGGAGAAAAGAAGGAAGGGAAGAAAAAAATGCGCGCGCACGCGCGCACACACACGGCAGCTAAGATAGTTACACTACTAATTTCTTTTAGTTCACTGAAGGGAACGGTTTGTGCTTATATTGTTTGATCACTCTTACATGCCTGTATCTGGTAATCTGAGCAACTACTTTGAAGATAACAATACACAGTGTAATAACCATTGTTCATTTCCTATCATCTTATTTTGAAATTCTGCACTTGATCTAAGCCAAAAGGCTGAGAAGCAATTGTTGTTCTGAAATTCTGTATCACTGTTTTTTTCTCTTTAAAATTAAAAAAGAAAAACAAACTTACTCTTCCACGTGCGTTGGGACCTGCAGGACTGGATCTGTGCAAAAGAACAAAGGCATCGTCAGACACACTTGAGAGCGCCCTCGGCCCTCGTTGTAAGCTACACCAACCCCGGAGGCCAACTTACAGGAGACAGTGTATGTCGGTGCACGTTAGGAAACACGCACAAATGCACACATACGAACTGTGATTATCGCCGAGATCACACTGAGAACTGCTGTCAGAAACTCCCATGTAACTTTGGGGATGAGCACAGAAGGAAGAACTGGCCGCGAGCCACAGTGGACCGGGGGTGACAGCGTCACTATCGGAACATCCAGGACTTCTAAATCCCACATCATTACCCTGCCGGATACCTGGAGGGTTACTAGATATCCCTGTTCAGAAATGTCAAACCGGCTTAAAGAACAGGTTCTCCCCTGGGTGGTAAACGGAGACGCACCCCTCAGGAGCCGCCTATCAGAGCACCCTGGAACTCCCAAGTGCTGCGTCCCTCTGATCCATTAACTGGAGCTCTACAAAATCTAGTTTTAAAATAATACAAAATGTAGAAAAAGATTTTATAGAAAGAAGTTCACAGGATCATAACAAAAGTCTTCACCAGTCAATACTGTGTTTAAATGATGGAAGATCCACTTGGTTAAAAAAAAAAAAAAAAAGAAGGCTTCTAAAAGGGCTGAAAAGTTTTCAGTCTTTATGCTGTTAGGTCCAGGAGAAAATATAACGTTATACAGACACTATTAACGCAGCTATGGGGGGAAGTCTTTTACAAACATAGAAGAAAACTAGATGAAGAGTTCAAAAATGCTCACTGTGTGTTACTTTCGTTGGCAGTATAAGCAACCCCCAACATATACCTTTTTCGTATTTCTTAAAATTTGTACAAGAGCAGGCATTGCTCTTTAAGTTAGGAGTAAGCTTTTGCCTCTAAGTCAATTTCACAGTCACAGCAGTTAGAAGTGGCTGAATTTCCCTCTCTAGATTCTCCTGGGCACACAGGAGGCTCCTGACTGGCTGGGTGGATGGTGGTGAGGTAAAGGGCGTGAGCGCCGGCACTGCGCTGTAACATCCCCAACCCGCAAGGCACGGACTGCGCAGTGAGGAGGTCCCGCCACAAATCAGAACCCACAGCTGCAGTCACGCTGCACACGGCTTCAGACTGGGGGCGGGGCAGCACACACTCCCACGGGACTTCGTGTGCAGGTCCAGCGGCTCTGCTCATGGTAACAAACAGCCGTCTGTCTGGTCCTCCTTACCACTTGAGATTCTCAGATGAAGGAAATCTTTCAAGCCTTAGCATGTACTGACACTAGCTTAACAGCCCAGGACTTACACAGAGACGCACTGCCCTCACAACAGAAGTACACACGACACGGAAGAGTAAATCATTATCTAGCCAAAAGCTCTGCAGGAAGGTCAGTCAGTGGAGCAGAGCCAGCAAGTCCACTTCTCAATCTTGTCTTCCACTATGCGCAGAACTTCCAATAATTAATATTTAAATTAGTAGCGCGACATGACACATGAACAGGGAGGACAAATCCACCTTTAGTTGTCAACAAACATTTTGGAGGCAGCAAAAGCAGACTGTGCAAACTGCTGTCAAAGAATCTGCCAAGCAGACGGACAGGAGTTTCTCTACCGACAGCTTGTGGTCTGTGGGCAGCAAGCGTTCACTAACCCAAAAACCCTTCAGCAAACAGGATGAACTTTCAGTCGGTAAGCGTACGTCTATCTTTCCCATTAATCACCTCTCGGTACACGCATGCACACAGACTGAGGCAAGAGACAGGAAACAAAGGCACACGACAGTCACTGGCTGCAACACACTAGTCAAGGTGCAATTAGGACCCCGGTACTCCAGTGCGGCCCTGAAGCCACACACGCTAGAAGAAGCAAGAATGGCTACTCCAGAGAGAGCAGGGCAGAACAAAAAGGCATCTTTTCAGTTTGCGTTAGCCACTCAAGGTAACACAGATAAAAAGGACACCGGCAAAGCCTTGGAATTCACCAGAAACAAAATAGAGACTGACACGATTTGAACTCCTGTTAAGAACCTGACCCCGCTGTAGAGTGTTTGCTCAGCCTCGTGGACTTGTTTTCAGGTGCAGGTTTTCCTGGTTTTCTATAGTTTATGCACCGGTCACCTGATTCTGAGGGACCCAGAACGGCCCTGCACCATAAGACACAGGACATCAGCAGCAACAGGGAAGGGTTCTCAGCACAAATACAGGTGTGCGAGAACCAGGCTGGTTAGTCTTCGGAGAAGATGAACCCCCGTGGAAGAGAACACAAGGCTCACCTTATTATTCACCAGCTACCCAATAAAACTGGATACCGAGATAAGCTTCCGCAAAGGTGTGGGCCAGGGAAAAACCCAACCACTAAGACCGCGCTCACAGAGCCAAGCAAACTGCTGCTTGTTTTCTGGGGTGTGATGATGACTTATTCTATAGATATTTTTCTTCTTTAGGAATCATCTGAATCCAGGATTTGCTTGAATATATTACAGAAAATAATTGTGTGGGAGGGACCAATAAAGTAAAAGGTGTTGGACTGTTAAAGATGGATGAACATCATTAGGGAATCATGTTACTATTCTTTGTACAGATGCTTGAAATCTTCCTTATTACTTACAAAAGGGACAAACACAAGTTTGAGGCCAGCCTGGGCAACTTAGCAAGACTCTGTCTAAAACAAATAAAAAGGGCTGGGAATGTACCTCTGTGGTAGAACATCACTGAGTTCAACAGCCAGAAAGAGACACACACACACATACACACACACACACACAAAGTTAAAGCCAAAGCCAGGGACTGTACCTGCATGTAATCCCAGCACCCTGGGAGGCTAAATCAGGAGGAGTAAAAGTCCGAACCCAGCCTGGGTAGGTTAGTGAGACCCTTCACAATAAAAAAATAAAAAAATTTTAAAGAGGTAGGAGATGCAGCTCAGGGTAAAAGCCCTGGGTTCACTCTCCAGTACCACACACACACAGAAGAAAGAAATAAGTTAAAAATAAACACCTTTGGAAAGCTAGCAAAATAAAAACAAAGCATCATGGGAAAATGTACAGTGGAGAGCAACAGGAAAAAAGTGTCGGTTTTTTCTTTAATAATGAGAATTGGTATCAGGCAAGATTCTTGCTTTTAAAAAAGCTTTCAGCCATGTCAGAAGAAACACTGAGTAAACCGTAAGACTGTAAACAAATACTCCCACGAAATAAGCCACTCTGTCTATACGGAGCCTGACAAAGATACACGCCAACCTCACCAAGCCAGTTTCGTTTCCAGAAAAAGCAGCAGGGAGGGTTTCTTGCTCAAGTGTAAAATGGGTGTTATTCAAGATAATTCTGAGGTTATCAGGCAGAGATATGGGAAAATATTGCTGAAATCAATGTTTGGTTTCCCAGGAGCAGTTCAGGAAAAAACCAATGTGCTCACTGCTGCCCGGGGAGGAGCGGCCCCGGCCTCAACTCCACTCCTCTGGTGACCGGTGTGGTCTGAGACAGGCAGCGCAGCCCCCATTCCCCCATCCCCCCACCCCTGCAGAAAACAACTTCTGGGGTGAGATCAGGTAACACCTACTGCTACTGTGTTATGCTAATGTAATAATCTTCCCTGTTAACCTCAGACTGAAACGATAAGACAGACGTTCACATTTTCCCTTTGTCCAAATTCATGAGGCTTAAAAAAGTTTGTGTGTTTTTGTTTTTTTGTGTTTTGTTTTGTTTTGTTTTGAGACAGGATCTCACTGTGTAGTCCAGGTTGGCCTCAAATTCGCAGGAATCCTGCCTCAGCCTTCCAAGTGCTGGGATTACCATGCCTGGCACAGAGGTTAAAATTTAGACATTTCTATCTCCTGAAGAAGTGAGTTTTTTTGTGGAGACAGGGTCTTGCTATGCAGTTCAGGCTGGCCTTGAACTTGCAGCAATCTTTCTGCCTCGGCCTCCTGAATGCTGGGAATATTGGTGTGCGCCACACCTGGCAAAAAGTGAGCTTTTTCTGTGCTGCTCACTCTAATACCTGGAGGGAATTTTCCAAGTTCTGCCCTGCAGCTGTTCTTTTCTCTCTCAGGAAGCACATCCACCTGAATCTAACCACAAGGGGAGTTCTAGGTCCCCACCTTAGGCTCAGTGCTTGCCCGTGTGCGGTCTGGGCTCACCCTAGCCAGCTCCATCTCCAGCCATCTAAATCTCGCTTGTTCTTCAGGCTCCGAACACCTTTCCTGCAGGAAATGTGAACGCACTGTCCGTTATGCTCGGTATGTGCTGATGACGTACTTCTCATGTTTCCCAAGAGACAGGTAGGTACTTCCTGGCATGCGGCTTCTCTGGTTCTCAAGTAACTGAGGGCTGGACTGAATTTCAAGCACTCTGGGAGCAAAACCCTTCATTTCGCTTACTGTGAAATATACACAGGAAAATGCAGAAAGCGCATGTGCAACTCCGCGAGTCACCAGAGGCGGAGCCCGGGTCCCGCCGCCCAGGCTGCTGCCCTCTCTCGCACGGGGCACACGCGGTCTGGAGAACAGGAGATCTTAGCGGAGTCAGCGCTGCACGGGGCACACAGTCGCCCGCACAAGCGTTTCACAGTGAAAAGGACACAGCGAAGCCTCGAGCACACAGCTAAGAACATCCACCCAAGCGTAGAAAGGTTTATTCATATTTTTTAAAAATTTAAATGACGCGGTACCTGCCTGGACGTGAAGAAGAGCAGTGGTGGAACTGCCCAGTGCTGGTCACGACTGGTGCTGGGGGTGCAAGGCTTTCACAATGCTATTGCTTTACTTTCCCGTATATACGAGAAGAACCTACTCCATCAAAGAGCGAAATAAAAGGCGGATAATAGGGAGGCAGGAAATAGAACTTCTGCAAAGGAGGGAACCAAAAGCTGGAGCGGCGAGGGAAGGCGCAGAGGAACGGGGGTAGAGGAAGAATTAAGACGTGCTGTACACGGTACCGACTCCCACAGTGAAGGCAATCACTACGGCGAACATGGACTAACAAAAAATGTGTAAGAATTAAAGTCGGCATCTTCA